TCATTCAAAGAGGCTGATTGGCCAATAACTACCATTTGTAACTCCTACTACCTAGTTTTCTTCATAACCGCTTGTCACTAATTTTCTCAAATCGTGAGATGTAATCGTGATGTGCTCAAACTGTCTCAACCTGTGACTTTTAGATAACCGCAGAGTTTAGTCATCGTTAGGATTCTAGGCGATCCAGCAATTTGGGCGACGACTCCTTCGTTCTGGGTGTTCATAAGGCATTTTACTCGCTCAACATCTGAGCGTTCTGCAAGCTTGGTCGTCAATGTTCCTTTGTTTGTGGGCTGCTTCCCCTTTGTTTGATCTTTCATCTCGGATTCTCAACTAGGCTTCGTTCTTTGGGCCATTTAATTTGAGCTGCACTTTTAGTGTGTCAACAGATAGTAAATGCGGATTTTGAAACTTAGAGGGTAATTCGTAATACCTTTGGTCCAGTCAAATCCCATTTGAGCCCAAATGCTTTAATCGGATTTCTATATTTCCAGGCAAACCATGAGTTCGAACACGTAAATTTTTATTGACTCGTATAAATACATTATAAATGGATGAGTTTTGAAATCACAGCACACATCTTTGAATGAAAGGCACAATTACTTAACATTGCCTAATCCAGCTAATGCCAAATAAGATATGACCAAACGAAGCTGTTTTGATCCAATTACTTGTATGATCAATTCTTGCAACAATTTCGTTACGTTACCCCAGTTGTCTGTCTGCCTAATGTCACACGACATATCTTTGTTTTTCCTAGGACGTTTTTGTATGGAAGAAAAGGGTTTTGCTTCGGGGAGGTGATAAAGAGATAAAGTCATTATCCCCCACCCCTATGTAGTTTCTGGTTTAAGAACCTAACGCCCTCTCGTAACCATTATAAAGAACTTTAAAATCTTCATTTTTTCTTATTAGAGCTCTCGCTTAGACTTTGAAGGATCAACGTTAAAGATGTCTGTGAGTTTCTCTTTCTTAACTTCTTTTCCCTCAAAAAATTTGTGAATAATGATATATATATGCAGGAGAATTTGAGAACGCGGTATTGAGCCTCTCCTGTGGTTCCGTCTTAAAAAATCAACGATCTTATTAAAAGTACATATTTATTATTATTTTTTAATTATGAGACTTTTGATTTTATCTTACATGTGAGATTTTGTAGATGATGGAGGTGAGTGTTCCAAACTTGGATTGTGAAGGATGTGCTTCGAAGCTTAGAAAAGCTCTATTCAAGCTCAAAGGCGAGTTTTTGCTATTTCTTTTGAAACAACGATTTGGATAGAATCACATAGTTCTTTTGAATAGAAGCCATAAAATTTTTCAAATTTTGACTTGTTATCATTTTACTAACACTAATCCAGGAGTGAAGGAGGTAGATATTGAGATGGAAATACAGAAAATTACAGTGAGCGGCTACGGTTTAGAGGAAAAGAAAGTGTTAAAGGCAATTAAAAGAGCAGGAAAAACAGCCGAGCCATGGCCATATCCATATCCAGGATACTCATATTTTGATCATCATTATGTCACTTCAAGAAATGAAGATGATCAAAGTATAAATAACTCAGTTCAAACTCCT